CACCCGTTTGAACTAATAAAGTGCCAGGGGCCTAAGTGGTCACCTCAATATTAAAAAAAAAAAAAAAAAAAAAAAGAAATTGCAGTTTCAAAAGCACCACTGCAAAATGTGCCTAAAAAGTATCCAACATCTACTAAGCGAGATTCTCTTCTTAGTGAATATCAGGATAAAGCCACTGCAAAAAAAGGAAAAAATATAAAAAAAACCCATGAAAGATTTACAAAAGCCACAACCTTTATTTTGTGATCAAATACCTGCTTATATGCATGAATATATAAAGGAAGTGATTAATGTAGAAGCAGATGGAAATTGCGGGTACAGAGCAGTAGCTGCATCTTTAGAAAAGAATAAAAATGAGTGGCCAAATAACAGAAAGGAATTACTTAAAGAATTAATTGAAAAAGAGCAATTTTACTGGATGTTGTTTATAGCTAATGATGATTATGATATGATTATAAAAGAGATCTCTTGGGAGAATGGCCCTTGTATATTCGAATATTGGATGAAAATGCCACAAATAGGTGATGTTATTGCAAACACCTATCAAAGACCCTTATACTTTTTCTAATTACAAATAAATCTCACCTTTCTTCCACATCACCACCCCTTGAACTGTAATGAAGCACTTACACTAGCTTTCGTTAATAATAATTATTACGTAGCCATGGTATTGAGACCTGGTACACCTGTCCCACCAATTATTAATCATTGGATATAGTTCGCTACTTCAGCTGCAACACGTTGGAGATTATTGATCCAAGATCGCATTGATAAATTTCTTTCAATAAGCAGTTCAGCTAATTAAATAGATTTAGAAAAAGATTAACTAGATAGATTTATAAGATTTGTTAAATATTAAAATTCAAATACTCTTATGCTAAAAAAAAATTTTTGTATGACATAATTTATATAGCACTGTCCCTAAACGATCACGTGATTTTGCACTGTCCCTACATCTAACCCAGTATCGCCATAAAAATTTCGCCCCACGTGATCTGTGTTACATATGTATTTGAAGATCCTATTAATAAAATCGAAGTTTTTTTAAAACTTCTAGCGATGTTTTTATA